CTGGTAAGCCTGTTAATCCAACCATTATTCTAACAAACCACCTGCCACTTCTCGACTCTGACACCAGCGGTGGCCACTCAGATATTAGGGGGTGGGGGGACCATGCCACCCTGATCACCCTGTGGGGCAGGCATAATCAGCCAACATGAATGCCTGACCTCACAAATGGTCTTGTGGCTGAAGGAGAGAAATCCCTGCAGCCAGATTCTACCACATAATCCTGTAGAAAACCCTCCTAAAGCAGCAGATTCATGTCTATGGTTTTGGAATGAGGTGCTCCAGAATCACGTAGACGCTAGGTGCAACAGTTTGAGTGTGTTTTGGAATGAGGTGCTCCAGAATCACATAGACGTTAGGTACAACAGTTTGAGTGCTCACATCCTTCCTTCCAGGATTATGTTTTTAAATGTTAATTTATTTGATAATATGAAGCTATGAAAACTGACCACTAAACACAAAACACACACATTTTATGAACATCAGATTGAAATACTGCATTGGCACTGAATGGTGAATATAAGTCTCTAATGAAGAGTTGTTCCATTTGAACATAATTCATGGTAAACATGGCTGTGCACACAGAAAATACACACCTTGACTTACTGGATAATCTCTGCTATGGTAAGATAGGGTGCATGGGAGCACATGACCCAGAGGCAGGAGAGGTCTTAGAGATGCAGCAATAGAGTGAGGGAGCAGGGACAGTGCTAACAGTCACAGTAATAATAATAATAAATCATTATGCCCTGCCAGAGAACCTCAAGTAGCGATAAGGCTCATAGGGAGCATTTTAAAATCAATCCTAAAACTCACAGGTAACTAGTGAAAAGTTATCAAAGACTGGTGAGATATGGCCACTTCTCTTTGAGCTTGTTATCAGCTGAGAAAAATGGAATCTTCTTGCTTCCATTACTGCACACTGGCACGAGGATGTTAGATGTTAGCAAGAAGCAAAAGACTCACTATTACCTTTTTGTTCCTTTTCCACTCTACCTTCCTGCCTTGTCTTTTAAATTCCTCAGCTCCTCATTTAACCGTGGAAGAAAGGAGGGTTTGGGCTTTTGTATCTGACAGGAGCCGTAGAATCGAAGTTATTTGTGAAGGAGCTATATAAAACATTGACGTCTGTTCCACAGTGAGGCCAGGTGTTTATGAGTACTAAAAATATATTTGACTCATTAAAAGCTTGACAAAAACAGGGAACAGACAGCAAATTGGGGGCAGGAGCAAGTTTCTGTAGGGAGTTTGGGTTCAGGAAAAAAAAGTGATATATGGAAGAACACTATAGTCAGGCACTGCAAAATGGTGCAGTTTCACATCTTCCACACTGAAACCATATTAGGTTGAGTGTATGCCTGTTGTTGTAGATTAAAAGAGGAGATACTATAGTAGGGCAGCAAACATGGATATTCAGCTTGCCAACAACAGGAACTCCTGAATAAAACTGACTGTCAAAGGTTGAAAAGCAGCCATATGAGAATGGAGAACAGCAAAAAATGATTTTACTGCCTAAAGCTTACTGCCCTGACCTGTCAGCCTTGGCTGGTGAAAAAATGGAAATTCATAAAACATGAAAACTGGTCTGAAGAGAACCAAATGCTGAGCTGGTCTAAATGTTACACTGCCCATCTAATTGTTGTCCAGTGGGTATAGACAACACACCCATACACCCAAATTAAGGGTGTTACCTCTTTATATGTTCTACAGATGCTGTTAACCTAGAAATGTTAGAGACATCATCCACAGAATTAGCCTTTAAATACTGTAGCTATCATCTCAATAACAAGACTGGACCCCAGGGTCCAGTGTTGTTTTACAAGCAGTAAGTGAATGGGTTCATTTGTTTCACAGTGTGTGCAGTGTACAGCATGAGCATGGATAATGGATTAATAACTGGCTTTACCAAGCAATATACATTTCATACAAACAATTTAATACTTGCTGCACATTTTATAACTATACAGACTGAAAAAATTGCAAATAAAAACAATAGATGTTGCCTCAAATGAAATGTACTGTCACAACAGTCTACATCAAAAAAGAGCTACACTCTTAGCTTTATAAGCATAATAAACAAATATTCTGTAAGCATAATATGTACTACCCCTGTGGTGTGCATTACTGCAAGCTGCACTTTAACCATTTTTAAATGTGCATGTGAGAAAGAGAATGCAGAGCAACAGTCCCAAGAGCATGAACAGGAGTGCTGATAAAGTGAGCAGGACATTTAGCAGAACAAGTATCTCTACATGCACACATGTCTGATCTGAGGCATGCTGCTAACTGTATGTGTTTTATATAAACATCCTACACCAGGATAATATCAAGGATAACAGTGAATATTTGTCATCTTCCACTGAAGAGAGTGAAAGCACATTTGATAAACACTAATGAGAGCAATAAACAGTGTTGAAAGCTGTTAAATTTATCACTGTAATAAAACTATATAAAAATTGTTGTGTTCAAATTGTGTTGCCTGAAGCTTTGTTGTTCTCAGAGACTGCTCATACTGATGTAATTGCTTTTCCTTAAATTGGAGTAAAGTGGTGCTATGTGAAGTGTTAGAATGGGGAAAGAAATGCAGCAAGTATTCAGTCTACTTAAGGAAAAAAAACACACAACATGCCCCACCCTCTTTCTTTTATTAACCCTGTGTTCTTGTAGGTCAACATGTGCATTGACTTTATTATCAATACTAAAAACTTTTCAAACTTTGTATGTGAAGAAGTCCTTACCTAACTTTTTTTTGTAGCTGTACTAATGAGGTCATTGCAGATTTTTTCTTTTTAGATTTCAGTTCACCTGTGGGATACTGGAGGAGGAACAGGTAGAGAGGAAAAGAAGAAAGGCAGAGATGTAGTCCACAGCAGCAGGGAGGTGTTTCTTTGATGGCTGGCGGAGGCAGGAAATCACAAGATTTAATGTTCAGTGTTAAACTGAGCAACTCTCGCAGGCACACTTCAGACAGAAAAGTGGGAAGGAAATGTACATTTCCAAATGGAGCCTTCCCACATATAAATGAGTAGGTTGAACTGCAAAGCAACAAAATTGCTTCAGAGATAAAATCATTTCCATGACAAAAACACAGATATTAAACATTTTGGAACAACAGATATTTCAAGCAGGTTTCTGAAAGCTGCTAAGTTAGAGTCCACCCAGTGGAGGTTGGCTGTAGGGGATTTGTAGCCCAGTCAGCTGTCTCTCTGCTAGGTGAGGTGGGTATAAAAGGGCAGAGCCTAAGACAGGTAATTAGGAATCTAGATGATAGAGCAGCAAGGTCCAGTGAGTGGCTCTGGAGCAGAAGAAAGGTGTGTAAGATACAGTAGATAAGTACTTTGAACAAATTGTAAACTGCAGCATACTGTATGTGTGGATTATACCTACTAAGCTAAAGTAAACTAGCACAGGAAGACAAAATGATCATTACGTGTGGCAGGCTTGAGCCCTACTTCCTGGTGTTAGCATAAGCAAGAAAAAATGAGGACAAATTAGACGTTTGACTGATTTGTTGGAGTGAACAACACAGGGTGGATTCTGATGCAGCACCAGAGGTTGCAGATGTTTAGCTTGTTATGTGGTGAGCTATGTTAAATGTTTGGTGGCTAGAACAGCTGTTGAGATGTTTGCTAGTACTAGTGACTGTGGCAACAGTTAGTCTGAAAGAGCCTAAGTAGATGAAGGGTTGTGTTGGATGTGTGGGCGTTATGGCCTTGGGCCACAAGCACAGTATTGAAC